ACACACACACACACACACACACACACACACACACACACACACACACACACACACACACTGCAGCATAACTGGGAGGGAACCCTTAACTCCCATCATCTCCTTGGGGAGAGAAAGAAGTAGAATGTGAGTCCAACTGACATTCAAGCGGCTGCTGGAGACGAGTGTCTGTCTTGCGTGCATTCCAGTACTGACAGAATAGAGTACCAGGGGGAGGGGTCTCAGGGGAACAGAAAACTGTACCAGGGTGTGCAGCGCCACAGACAGACACTAGGGGGAGCCCCAGGGTGGTGATTTGCTGCAACACCAGAGAGGCTGCAATATTATAGACAGACTACTGGAAGCTCGAGTAGAAAGAGGCAAATCTCTTCACACAGATTATACACACAAACCCAGAAATGACACATACACATTACACTTACACACACACACACACACACACACACACACACACACACACACACACACACACACAGAAAACAGTTGAGAAGTCTCCAGAATCTCTAGCCTGACTGTATCTGTATGGAAAAAGTCCACCCTTTATGAAACCAGACAGCAGTCTCTGAGCGTTGGTTGATTCTTCAGAAGCCCAAATCCCAAACACTACAACAGAAAAAGCAAGACAGGCAATCATGACATTTTAAACGAACCAACTACATCTCTAGACATCAAACCCACAGATTTGGTATCCCATCTGATTCCAGCTGATGGAAAAATCAGGGGGGCCCTGGCGCCTAAAGAAACAGACGAAATGGCACAGGATACAGTGAGCCTTACTTATTAACAAGTTCTCTTCTGTTTCTCCTGTTTCTCCGTTCCTTCTCCCTCGCCCAGGCTGCTCTCTCGCGGCCCTTCTCCATCCCTCCTGCCAATAACCCCGCTTTTCCTTTCTTCTCGCGCACCCTATCTTGCCCGCGTGTCCTCCACGCGCGCCCAACGGCGCCGTTCTAGAACACTGAAGCAGAGGCGTTGGACAATACGGGCGCCTGTTGGGGAAATCCCCCAGAAGGAGCCTGACCCAGCCTTGACGTGGCGGAGGAGGCTGGCACTCCCGCACGCCCTGCTCGGGCAGCCCCGCACTTGGCGCTCCCGCGCCTCTGGCGGCTGTGGCGCCCGCAAGTCTGACTCGCAAGTCCCCAAGGGCGGGGCCTGGCTGCCTAGGGGGCAGAGCTGTGCCATGAGGTCAGCGAGGACCTCACTCGCCCAAGGCCGGCCCCTCCGCGCGCTGGTCCTGGCGGTGCTCCTGCTCGACTCTCTGGGCGAGGATTTCATGTTTCACCCTGAGTGGGGCTTTGACGCCTATGAAATCACCATCCCCAAGAAGCTGAGCGTCCGCGGAGGGGCGCAGGGGGCGAGCAAGCTCGAGGCCTACCTCCTGCAGGTGAAAGGCAAGAAGCATGTCCTGCACCTGTGGCCCAAGAGGTTCCTGCTGCCGCGCCACCTGCAGGTGTTCTCCTTCACGGAGCAGGGGCAGCACCTGGAGGATTACCCGTACATCCCCAGGGACTGCAACTACGTGGGCGCGGTGGAAGGCTCCGGGGATTCGGAGGCTACTGTCAGTACGTGCATGGGGGGTCTCCGCGGCATCTTGAGAATCGACGCCAAGCATTACCAAATCGAGCCCCTCAAGGCCTCTTCCACTTTTGAACACGTCGTGTATTTCCTGAAGGGCGAGGGATTGCACCAGCCCCTCTGCGGCTTAACTAAGGGCGAAATAGAGCAGCAGGGGGCGCCATATGCCGGCAGCGCCAGGCTGGGGGACTTGACTGGAATCATTAGGCACCAGCGGTACTTGGAATGAGTCTTGCTCTTTGATCACAGTAGATATTTGTATCTGAATTCCAATGTTAGTCAAATCACAGATGATGCCATTCTTATGACCGGGATTATGTACACTTACTATCAAGATGTCCCCTGGAGAATACGTCTGAAAGGTATTGAAGGAAACAGAATAAGTTTGTATGCCGAATTAGCTGAAGCGTTAGGCCAATGTTTAATATACAGAAAAACTATATGGAACGTTTGGCTTCCAGAGGATTGGGCCCTCCTGTACACGAGAGGAAATTGCACAGATGCCCTTGCATGGCCTTGGGGCAGAGTGTGTAGAATGTCCTTGGTTGGATCTGTAAGTGTTATTCCAAATGTGACTGTCCTTGTCCCTGCCAGTTGGACTGCCCGTGAAGTGGGCCACCGCGTGGGAATGCACCCTGACTTAGGGGACTGTCCGTGTGAGGGGAGGCATGCTTGCATCATGCGCCACAGACGAACTGGGTTGAGCAATTGGAGTTGCGACCGTTTTACAAACTATGCCCGCAGAAGAGCAAACCATCTCGCGAATACCCCAGGA